AAGCTAGAAAGCCATGGACCAAAATTATAAAATAATACAATTTCCAATCCAGTATTCTTTACCTAACCAAAGAATCAAACAAGTAACAGGGTAAGCTAAAGCCATTTTAAAACACCAAGTGAGCCAAGAATGAATAATGCCATGAGTCACTGGAAAATGGAGATCCAACCACAGAAGACAGTGAAAGGAATCCCACAGATATTAATAGTTGCATACCAAGTCTAAAAGGCAATCAGTCCAGAATGAAGCTCAGAGAAATATGAGAGAGACTTCCTCAGGAAGATAAAATTGATAACAGTACCTGATATGTCTGAACATCTCAAGGGACATTTGATGAAATGATGAATCAGTGATTACTACAGAGAAAATTAAGGGGGGGCCGGGTGGGTGGAGACAATGAATTCCAGCCAAATCACCCTATGGTAAAGCTAACAGTCAGTAAGTCACATTGAGAACTTCTTATCAGCTCTTTAGTCTCCTACACTTAAGTACAAGCAGAGGACCAAGAATTGCCAGACATCTGAAGAAAGGCTCTATCATAAAAGGTTAAGCCCAAAACATACAAAAATGGGGAGAAAGGCAACTTGGGGGAAACAGATGATGACAGATAAAACCTTGGGGTGGGGGAACCCACTAACATTTCTAAATGCTAAATAGTATACAGAAATATATATATAAGTGTACCACACATGCTAGATGGCTGGGGTGGGAGGAGGGAGGCAAGTGCAGGACATTAGACACGATAGGAAAATTAATCATATTTTACAAGAACACTGAATAATCAATAGTGATGCAATCATAACTATTAAGAGGAGGAGGGACCAGGAGGAAGGAGGACGAACTGAGTAGGTCATGACAAAGTTAATCTTCATTTTCTACCCACAAAGTTAATAAAGCCAAAAACAAAAGCAAGGATGGACTTCCCTGGTGGCGCAGTGGCTAAGAATCCACCTGCCAATGCGGGGGACACGGGTTTGAGCCCTGGTCCAGAAAGATCCCACATGCCGCGGAGCAACTAAGCCCGTGTGCCACAACTACTGAGCCCGCGCGCCTAGAGCCCGGCTCCGCAACAAGAGAAGCCACGGCGATGAGAAGCCCGAGCACCGCGACTAAGGAAAGCCCGCGCACAGCAACAAAGACCCCATGCAGCCAAAAATAAAGAAAGAAGGAAATGTATTAAAAAAAAAAAAAAGTAAGGAGTATTTTATTTAACACACACACAAATATAGGGCATATGAGTTAGAAACAGTTCTAAGGGCTTTGCAAATGCATTGAACTCTTATAACAACCCTATGAGGTAGGTACTATTTTCCTCACTTTTTAAAATGAGCAAACTGAGGCACAGCGAGGTTAAGCAGCTAGTAAACAATAGAGGATGGATCAGACCTAAGCAGTCTAATTCCAGGGTCCATGCTCCTAACCACCTGGCTATGTTGCACATCTAGTAGCAACACAAGCAGTTAGAGACTAGGAGGTAAATGTCACAGTCATCATCTAAAAGAGGTGAAAGTGATTGCTTCTGGGAAATGAAGCAGGCAGGAAGCTTCTGTTTGTTTTGATAACCATGTAAACTATTTGGCTCTTTAAACTGTGCAGGTACAACCTAAATAAAAATTAAAACTTATAATTTAGTATTTTACAGTTAAAGTATTTTATCTGATGCTACCATCCTAAGAAGTGGGCAAAATGAGTATTATTCCTACTTGATAAGAAAACTCATTCCTCTTTAGTAAATATGAGGGCCAACTCTATAACAGGCACTGCATTTAAAAGATAGATATCAATTCACCTCAAGGTATGAAAAGGCAAAAGAGGTAGAAAAAGCAAGTATTTTCATTCATTTCTTTTCACTTTGTTGCATTTAACTATATGATCCTACAACCTGAACAGTTGTGCTTAAGGTGAGAGACAATACAAATTTTAAATCATGATAGAAAAAGCAGAGAAAGGTCTGCTCATTAATCGGTTCAAAAAAGATTTAGCTCTTGCCCTTGAGGAACTCACAGTCTTGTGGGGAAAACGGGTAAACGTAATTCAGACTGAATGTGTGCAGTACCTTGACTAGAGGAACACTAAAAAGGGCTAAGGAAACAACATTCCCTGGGTGAAGAGGCTGCTTCAGAGGGAACATGTGAGCTGAGCCTTGAAGGAGGAATAGAAGTTTGACCAATTAATTTCACAGAAGAGGCGGTACTAACAATCACAAAACACTATACATCGGTGTGAAATACCTGTATCTTCCCTGTGTTGTAAAAATGAGTTCACATTAAAGGTTAACGTGAGACATTAAGAACTTTTTAATGAGAATGATTTTTAAAAATCTAGATACATAATCTTAATGCCTGATCCATGTTTCTAATCTTCATAGTCTCTACCAGTAGCCAACTGAAAGCATGTTCCACATGTGTTAGAAATATTTTAAAATTTAAAGTGTTAGAATATTATTTCAAAAGATGACTAAAGAACAACGAATCTTCATTTGTCCTACCATCCAAAAGTTTTATTGTTAACGTGTTTTCTAAGTCGTAATACTGAAATTACAATGTACTCTTTTCTCCTATGGGAGACTAATAGGTGACCGAGCCCAGAAGACACAAGTGACACAGAAACGAACATGGGAAGAAAAAGTAAAAAACACTTTAAAAAAATAAATAGAAACTCATCATCACTTTTTTCTCTTGCAGATATTCTCAAATTCCCTTCCAAGAACCAATTTAAATGAAACATTTCTTTTTCCAAACTACAGTGGTAAAAGAAATAATCTGCAAGAAAGCACAGAGAAAATAATATACAAATTTACCTTATCTGACCTTTACAGGTATTTTAGGGGTCACTTTGATTTCTCAGAATTTAAAGGACACCTCTGAAAAAAAATTTTCTGGTCTTGACGACTTGACTTTGATGTTAACAAAGGCTCAAATATGTAGCTCATTCAAAACAGGTACAGTCAACTCAAGTTACTTTATACCAATATTTAATCATGTCTCAGTATCTGTTTTTGTCCCTTTAATTTCAAACCTTCCTACATAATTTGCCCCTCATTAATGTTCCTCTCAGTTACTATATGGAAAAATTAATTTTGTAGTAGTATCTTAAACGGGGACTCTATCTCTACAGTTAAAAACCAAGCTGTAAAGTCTCCTGACTTTAATCATCTGGAACAGCATGTTGTGGAAAGCTCTATCATGCCCCACCACCAGGAGGAAAACAAAAAAGGAGGGAGTCATGCCAGGAGACCACAAACAGTAATTGGCAAAAATCATGGCAGGTTTGAATTCAAAATATGTGGTTTCCATTTGTGTATCTGACCCATCTTTTATTTCTCTAAATTTAGCAACCACATAATGTACCCGTGGGCTTTACTCAGATCACACCCTTTAAATTTAGAACTTATTAATATTTGGGGTAAATAATTCTTTAAAATTACAGATAAGTATTAGCACGATTTGATACATTTAAAGGTTTAACAATAACTATAATAGGACTCTTAAGGAAACCACCTCCTAGAAGAGGTCTATCTTTTAATGTACAGTTTTGTACACATGATACTGAATACATTTGGCTAGGTAACGAGATTTTAATTATATGACTTAGAAAAGTAATAAAAATCTTGAAAGACAAGACTTTAAATTATTTCAATTAATCATGCCTTTACCTTATATCTTTTAAGTAACTAAAAAAAAAAACAAAAACAAAAAACATGAAAATCTCACTGAAACATTAGGCCTTTGTTTTTCTAAAACTGCAATTCTTTTGAAATATGCTCAATATTTCCAAAGGGAAAACCACAGATATACATTTTGAATGTAAATGTTCCAACTGGTTTGATAAAAGTTCAATCTCAAAAATCTCCAACCAATACTAAAATAATTAAGTATCTTTCAAGCTTATTCAAAGTTCCACAGTGAAAATGAATAGCCTTTGTCATAACTCCTATATTATTTTGATCAAGGTTAGTCAGACTGGCAAATTTGTGAAAAGAACATTCCTTTAAAAATCAACTTAGTTTAAAGCCATGTAGCAGCATGAGAGATTTCACAACTTTTCTAGCTAGCCAGCTTCAAAGACACAATTGGATTCAATAAACATGATTATCACATTATTTCCAATCCAATTAAGAAAACGCTGGTTTAATAATGTACTTTAGGCTTTATGTATTTTTTTGGTAAGAGAAGAGGAGAACAGGTGGAGTAGACTGTAGGAGCGCAAAGTCGGTTTCATGTCTCTATAAATTCAACCCTCCAAGACTTTGTTTCTTTACCCTTTAAAATGGCTACCACCTTGATCTACTATGCAAAAGGAAAAATGCACAGCATACTACTATCAACGACAAGTCTGGTTATTTTTAAGAGTGTATGGCCTCCTACCCCACGAAACACTTTTTAAGATTCCCATTCCTTTACTGTTCCAATGAAACGACCATTAGATAAGTACACAAAAGTTGGTCAATTCGTTTGAGGGCAACCTGTATAACCCAGCTTAGGTCATCTTTCCTGTAGTATCTGATGAGGAAAAGCAGCTAACGTTATCTTTCACAGACTAAGAGCAAACACAGTAGAACTTTAAAGGGTCGTCCTGTCCAGTAAAGGAGAAACAAATGTGGGAACCACAACCTCCCCTCCCGTCCCCAAGAGATGATCATAATGATTTTAGGAACTCAAAAGAACAGATTAACTATTAGATGGGTCAGCAAAAACTAGTAACTCTAAAACCCATTTTATAAATAACAAAACCACTTGGTGCTCCCAAACCTATTCGTAATGCTCAGAAACTATCCTGTCAAATAGTGTTTACACAATACCTACACCACTTCCTGACCAACTAGTTTGAGACCGCTCCATAACACTCTTGCTCTAGAAAACTTACCAGAAAAATGCAGTTTCACATACAAAAAGGAAGAAATATACAATGCTTCAGACTGATCTCGTGCATATACATAGCTACTAAATAGATTAACTCTGCATCTGCTGAGTGTCTGCAGAAACATGGCATGACCTTACCTCTCATCCTCGCCATCCACCAGGGGTGTCGTCAGCGGTAGCACCTTCAACGGGAAAAGAGAAGCAGAGGCTCCTAGGCTGCTGCTACTCCCATCGCAAACTGCCGACATGCCCCCACTGTCACCACTGATAGTCTGAGGTAAGCCAACTAAGGAGGGTTCCGCTGGGCGCCTGGCATCTTCAATTTGGCTTCCAATTGCCTGAGCTAATGATTGTGCAGAGAACTGAGTAGAACTTGGTATCTGCTGCGCCAAAGGCAAATTTATATTAGGTGCTGCCATCAAGGGAGGCTGACTAACACTTTGAACCAAATTACCATTTTGAGTGGCAGGGGCTTGTGCTATATTCTGTGATGGAACCAAGTTTGTTGGGACAGAAGGCATTCCAGAAGGCCCAGCTGAACTAACCTGATTCGTAACAGAAATACTGCTAGCAGAGGGCAAAGGACTAACTGCAGGCAACTGCTGCGAAACAACTCCTGGAGCTACTGACTCTACTCCTTGCGGCTGGGGAGGCACAGTTAACAAGGTACTCTGGGGTGCAATGACCAACTGTTGAGGAAGGCTTGAAGCACTAGCTTGAACTCCCTGATGAAGAATCGCAGCCTGAGCGGGTGGAACTACCTGTGAAGACGGAGGAGCACCTTGCGGGATAACTGAAGGTGTGACTTGGGTAGAGGGCTGCTGCGCTGCCGTAGGTAGGTTTGTCTGTTGACCAATATTTGCAATTTGACTGCCAGGAGGTACAGCAGATACTGCCGTCTGCGCCTGGCCAGCGGGTTGGCCAGCTGCCCCTGCGGGCTGCGCCTGGACTGCGGCGGGCTGCACTGGCAGCTGGATGCCCTGTGGCTGAGCCACAGGAATCCCCGAGGTTCCTGCTCCCACCCCCGCAGAGGTGGGCTGTCCAGAGGACACTGCCGTTTGCAGAATCGGCTGCTGCTGAACATACTCGGAAGTAGCATTCGGAGTCACTGACGGGCCATGGCTTGGGGCCACCGACGGCTGCTGTCCATAGTGTAACTGCTGGGGTGATGTGCCTGGCAGGGGTGCTTGCGCCGGAGGGGCCGCCTGAGAATACGGCAGTTGGGGCTGAGCCAGGCTGGAAACGGAAGGCTGCTGACCTAGAGCTGAAGTTACACCCACCACGCTCACAGGTGATGGCTGGATACCAGCTGCAGCACTGAGAGCGGCTTGCAGAGGTACTGGTTGAAGACCCTGCTTCTGCTGATAGCTCAGTTCTTGAGACTGCAACTGCACTTGCGAGATCTGTGACTGAGAAATACTCTGTGGCATACTAACTGCTGAAATGCCCGCCGGAGCAGCGCTACTGAAGTCCATCTGCGGGAGGGCGACACCTGGAAGAGCGGGCGGCTGCTGCACCACGGCAGCTGGGGCCCCCATCTCTCCGCTTCCCACACTCTCCGTGTAGTGGCTCAGCGTGCTGACACTGCTGCTCACTGAGCTCCCGCTTGTGCTCTCCCTCTCAGAAGTCACTTCTGTCGGGTTTTGTTTTACGCTTTCCACTGCTTTATTTATCACCACCCCTTCGGCGGCGGGGGCAGCGTTTTCTTTCTCATAGAACTCGGTGCAAGTCCATCTACCTTTTTTGAAGGGCTCAGAACTCGAATCTAACTTCACAACTCTGAACCTGGACGTGTTAACTGTTGGCTGTTGCTGCTGACTTGAAACTGATCCTACAGTCATCCCTGCAGCTGCACTGGCAGTGCTGTTAATGAGAGCGGAGGACGAAATCGTACCGTTGCCCAGGCCGCTCAAGACAGTCACGTTAACACCGCTGCTCACTCCAGGCCCAACGCTCACACCGGCAGCACTGGGAATGTTGCTCGCACTTAAATTAGCATTAGCAAGCATGCTGCTGGTCACATTAGGATTAAAACCGCCCACAGCCGTAATGTTAACATTATTCATCGTATTAGTGCCTGTAACAGAATTTATACCTATACTGCCGCTTGTACTCGGAGCACGGATACTAGTCATTACAGATGCAGGTGAGCCACTCGATGATACGGCAGAAGTTGGTGCAACTGGCATAACGGTGTCAGAGCTTCCAGTTGTAGACAGTTTTCTGGACACCGGGCTTGCAGGCGGCCCTCCCGGAATGGGTGTACTGGCCACACCGGCATGGGATGGATGGTGGTGCCCGTGATGGAGGTGGTGCCCATGATGAACGTGAGGGTGGTGATGGAGGGAGTGGGGATGAGCATTCCCATTGATTACAACATTCTGTTGTGGAAGGTGAGGCAAATGAGGCTGAGGAAGGGGGGGCTGGTTGGGAGAGACTGCCCCAGGTGTCTCGGCTTCCTGGAAGTTATTGAGAGTTTCTTCTGAGGAGCTGCGTTCAGGCTCCCCTAAGTCGGTAGCCCTGGAAAGTGACACATCAAGGATCTCGGAAGACGACAGATCTTCTGTGTGAGATTCATCCAGATCATCGTAGCTTTCGGTGTCCTCTGCGATGCTGTTGTTAGAGCTGATGCTAGCGGAGATCTGAGCCGGGGTCACGCTCGTTATCTGGAAGCCACTTTTCTTTTTCATTTGAGTTCCGCCTGGCGCAAGAGGCTGTGCCTGCAGCTGAGCCTGCGAAAGGAGGTTCAGGCTTTGTGGAGGCGGAGGCTGTGGTCCCGACAGAGAAGATGCTGCAGGAGGTGGCGGCTGGAGCAGCGACGGAGGCGGAAAATCCTCGGAAGATGGGGCACTACTACCAACGCCGGTACCTGCTGCATTGAGAGCAGAGGCGCTGCCACCACTGCCCCTTCGAGGGAACACTGCCGGGTGCGCCATCTTCCTAGCACTAATGTCTGCAGCGGCCGAGGCCGCGGCCGCGGCGGCGGTGGACTCGGGCGGCTGGTGCATTGTGCTGGGTACCGGGGGGCGGAGGAGGCGAGTGCAATTTCCTTCGGCACCGTAATCTTTGTATTCAAGACGCCGAGGAGGAAAACGGGACCTGACGCTCCGCCCGGCGCGATTCCTCCTCCTCCTCCTTCTCAGCCGAAGGCGCTGGCCGCTTCTGCCTTCGAGGGCGAGCTTCGGGAAGGGAGGATGAACGAGGGTGAACAGAACAGCCGGGGACCCGAAGGGGGGACCCCTTCAGTCCTTCGCCATTCACTTTCCCCTCTAGCCTCACACCCCCCTTTATATTCCGCTTCACGTGGGGTGCGGGGCAGGAGGGAGGGGAAGACCAGGGGAGGGGGGAGGCTAGGGGAGGGGGTGGGAAAGCCGAGAAATGCCCACCTTCTCCGGACAACTCCGAAGCCACCTCCCCCCCTCTTCCCGCCGCGGCGGCGGCGGCCGCTGCAAAACCCTCCCGGTCGCTCTGCACGAAGGCGGCGGCGCCGAGCGAGTGTCGCCTTCCCCTCGCCACCCCCAGCCCCGCCGCCGCCGGCGAACCCTGAGCTCAGTGTGGCTCAAACCTCCCCTCCCGGCCCCGCCGGCCCCGCTCGGCCCTCCCCCCACGCCCTGCGGACCCTTTCAAACCCCCTGGGCTCGAGGCTGCTGCTCCGTGAGGAAACGCTGGCCGCGGCTGGGGCCGGCGCGGCGAGGCTCGAAGCGGGGCGGCGGCGGGGCGCCGGGTACGGTGAGCCCAGCAACGGGGCGCGGGCGGGCGCGCAGAGACGCCGGGTCCTCGCGGAGCACGGCCGGGGCGCGGCGGCGGCGGTGGCAGCGGGAGCCCAGGGACCTCTCCATCACTGGCAGCCATGGAGCCGGAGCATTTTCCTCCCTCTGGGCAGGCGCCTCGGCTCGGCACACGTCCTCGGGGAGGAAGGGGCCGGCGCCCGAGCCTCCCCGGAGGGCGGCGGGACTTGCGCTAGCGCCGACGATGCGAGCCGCTCTAGTCCTCTTCCTCTGCAGCCGGTTCGTCCGCACCCCGCTGCTCCCGTGGTCCGGGCGGGAGGGGGCCGCAGGCGGCGGCGGCGACTCCTTTCTCGGCGGCGTTGGTGGCCAGAGGGGCTGCTGCAGCGACTGCAGCCGACGCCGTTCAAAGGAACGAGAGGTGGGGTTGGTCGGTGTCGGCGAACGGGGCGGGTGAGTGGGTGGGTGCCGAGGGAGGGCGGCGGGCGGAGAGGGGGCTGTGGTGGTTGTTACTAGTGCTTTTCTCCGGCTCCACCGTATCCCCGGGTCTCTCGCGGCATCGGCAGAGGAGGGACCAGCGCCCGAGCGCAGGAGGAGGAGGGGCGACCGCCGGCCAGAGGAGGCGGTGGCGGTGGCGGGGGGAGGGGGCTGGCCGAGGAGAAGGAGGGAAGATGGCGTCTGCGCATGCGCCCCGGCGCCGCAGACATAAAGCCGGGTCTGGCGGAGGAGGAGGCGGCGGGTCTTCGAACCTCGCCGAGCGCCGGGTCTCCTGGCGGAAATTTCCGAAGGCTGGCGGAGGCGCCGACGACGTCGGCGGCGGCGGCGGCGGTGGTGGGGGGTGGGGAATTTCGGCCGGGGGAGCGAAACCGGGGGGGCGGCCGGAGAGAGTCGGCCTGAGGGGGGGGGGGCAGGGTGCGGGGCGCGCGCAGGTTAGGTGTGTCCGCTCCTTTTTCACACGCGGCCGGCGCGCGCGCGCAGGCACGCGGCAGGGAGGGGCTCGAGGAGGCCGCTGGAGCCCGGGTCTCGGGTGTAAGCGCTCTGGGTAGTGTCCCCCGCCTGCGGAATGGGTAATGAGGCTTTTCTCCGCAGCAACAGCATCACGAGTTTCAGTTCCCAGGAGTCCGCCGCCGCCACGACATGAGTCAGGCTTTCTCCTCGGCGCGTGGAGGAGCCCTCCTCCTCCTCGCCGCACCTGGGCTCGACCCCGGCCCGCGCGGCCCTCGCCCCCTTGGAGGATGTCCCAGCGCTCGGAGCCGCAGGGTCCGCGGAAGGCCGGTGGCTCCTCGGGATAGACGCTCCCTTTTGTGCGGCGCAGTTGCAGCTGCCATGCGGTCCCCTCGCCTTTCGACGGCCACGGGCTAGCCAGCCCGGCAGATATTGCAGCTGTTCGCAGTTAACTGCCTGAGCTCTTCTCTGGAGAGGGAGCGCTTTCAATCCGTCGTTACCTGGAGGGAAGCAGTAGCCCGGCCTAGTAAATAACTGACCTCAACAGGTGGAGCTTATCTCCAGAAGGGATAGCATTTCGTTTAATTGTCCGGGCTGTAGCCTGCATAGGTTTGACTTAAAAGACAAACTGGCCTTGTCATGGTGGCAACACGATGATCAATGAAGACTACCCTTTAGGGTTAGAAAAGAGAAAGAACCATCTGCAATTCCAGTTTAAAAAATAATAAAACCTGCATGGATCTGAGCATGGTGCTACAGAAGGAATGTTAGGTTTGATGGGAGGCAGTTTACTGGAAGTTGCTTCCCTGGCATTACACGTCAAAACATTCTAGCTCTAAGCATTGTTTACTACTAGGCGAGAGTGTACTTCTCGCCCAGGAATTTAAAAACAACAAAGTATTATAATATAGAAAACCCTAGGGAGAAATGTAGTTTTATTTCAACTTAGGTTGTTGAGAAACTGAACGTTTATGGTTAGACCTATGCTTCAGTAAGTCTCACAGACTTCCAGATCTACAATTCTATTTTGAGCTTATTAAAACATAAATGGCATAATTGTCGATTCAACACGTTACTTTAGGTTTCTCTAGACTTGTCGCCTCATTCTGTCCCCCAAGAGGTTAGGAATATCACCATTCTATTACTGAATAGAAACGCACCCTCAACACCCCCGTATAGCCTGTATCAAAGTTTTGCTATATTGCTTTTTCTGTGGTGTCCCCCACTAAACCCAAAAGGTAGGACTACGTGTTTTTAATGTGGAGTTCCGGAGTAGGTACAAAGTAGGTGCTCACAAATATTGAAAATGACATGGTAGTAAAAATCAAATTCACTTGAAAAGATCGGACTTGTTTTATGTTACTCATGAATTAATACGTGAATGACTGGGTTTTTTTTTACATAACTATGGCCATTTGTGTATTTTACAAAAATAATTTCTTTTTTAATGTTACAACAGCTTTTGTTGCAAGAGATACACCTGATTAATGGCTGCCATTCATTGTTGAAATGCAACTCTGACATGCTTTTTTCAACAGTTTTTGAACGGAAAATAGGAAGTATCCTAATGAACTGAAACTGCAATAGAATTTAGTAGGGCAAAATGTGTTTGTGAGCTAGTGTGAAAGAAAATGCTCTAGATCTCTCAAAATCTTGCCTTAGGTCAAAATTTTAAATTACCCCAAACAACAGCCCAACACCCCCTGGTGTGTTGAGCTAAATACCTGCCGCCTAAATACCAACTATGATAGGGTTTGAAGCAGAAGAAAACCATGTAATAAAGTCTTCCGGACTTCCTTGGTGGTGCAGTGGTTAAGAATCCGCTTGCCAGTGCAGGGAACACAGGTTCGAGCCCTGGTCCGCGAAGATCCCACACGCCGCGGAGTAACTAAGCCCGTGCGCCGCAACTACTGAGCCTGCTCTCTGGAGCCCGGGAGTCACGACTACTGAAGCCCACATGCCTAGAACCCGTGCTCCGCAACAAGAGAAACCACCGCAATGAGAAGCCCGCGCACCACAACGAAGAGTAAACCCCGCTCTCCGCAACTAGAGAAAGCCTGCGTGCAACGAAGACCAACTCAGCCAAAAATAAATAATAAATAAATTTATAAAAAATAAAAAAATAAAGTCTTCCAGCGTTGACAGAATGAGTCATTGAGATAACCCTGTAAAAGCAGATACTTCTAATAACAGGTAGTAATTAGTATTCTTATTTTGGGCTGTTTTGATGTTGGGGGTTAGTGGGTATATTATTTCTTTTAAAAGAAAGTTGTTATTGTTTTAACTTTTCCAGGATAACATAAGACATAGAAAATACAGCCTCTTGAAACGTGTTTCACTTTTATCTGCCATATCACCTTCAAATTCCTGGTTAGGCTGCATCAAGTCCCACTGAGATATGACGAGCAGCTCTGCAATTACGGCAACCTGCGTTTGAGAAACATCGCTCTCTCTCCCTCTCCTTTCTCCAGTTGCCAGCATTTCTGTGACCAGCAATACATAAATATAAGTCCATAAAAACAAGCAGAAGCACTTGAACAACCCCATGTTGTTATCATGTTACCATCTTTTAGTCTAAAAGGTCTGGATTTTTTTTACATTAATATCAAATGCACACTGCTATGTGCAATGAAGTCATTAATTCCTTTGAACCCAGTACTTGGAGTTACCCTTTGTCTTTTGAAAGACTGCATTTCACCTGTTTACATTCTAAAGGTATAGTTCTGAATTACTCTCTATTGTGGGAAAGATTAGTCCATAGTACAGTGTTCACTTAAATCTCGTTATTGTGACATTGCAAATCCCATTGTTACCGAAAGCTCCACCTCTCTGTACACCGGCGCTGAATCGAATCTTGGGGACAGAGTTTTGGGTGAAGTAGAAGAAGATAGCTTTATTGCTTTGCCAGGCAAAGGAAGACACACTGGGCTTCTGCCTCAGAAAAATGTCTCAGCCCCAGAGGATTTGATGAAAGGATTTTATAACAGGGGTTCAAAGGCGGGGTCTTTGACAAGATTAGGGTGTGAGCAGGGCCTGCACTTCCTCAATCTCCTCTCAGATGCTCGTGTCCTCATCTTGATGAGCTTCTCTGGTCCCTTTAATCTCGCCTCAGGTGGTTTCTTGGTGGCTCCTCCCTTGATTAGCAGCTGTCCGAATCCACCCTTTGGAACTCAAGGAAGGTCACGGAGGTGGAGTCTTGCCTATAAGAAATGGGGACATATATACACTACCAAACGTAAGGTAGATAGCTAGTGGGAAGCAGCCGCATAGCAGAGGGAGATCAGCTCAGTGCTTTGTGGCCACCTGGAGGGGTGGGATAGGGAGGGTGGGAGGGAGGGAGATGCAAGAGGGAAGAGATATGGAGATATATGTATAGCTGATTCACTTTGTTATAAAGCAGAAATTAACACACCATTGTAAAGCAATTATACTCCAATAAAGATGTAAAAAAAGAAAAAAAAGGGGGGGGGACAAAAAGGGCCTCTGTGCCTGGGAGCCCCACAGGGTGCCTGCTCAGTTTCACTATGTTTAGACTTTTTTCTACCATAAAATAGAAAATTTCCTGACCATTATAACTCAATTTACCTATTTGTGAGAGCTGTGAAATAGATCTGTATTTAAAACCAATTAATTCTCCAAAAGTAATGCCCTTAAAGAACAGGAAGGGAATACTCGGACTCAGAATGGCTGTGAGTGCAAAGATAAATACTAAAGAGAAGTGGGTGCAGAAAATACACCACTGATCCACTCCAGTAATTTTTCTGGCTAACCAGTGCTTCAGTCCTGCAATAGTACTTATCTGTAACTTTTAAATGTCATCTGAAAAAAAAAAGCAAATTTTTCAATAATGAGTTAAAAACATGAAAAAAGTCACACATTTTTACATATGAAATTTATGCACAGGGATATTACAGCATGTTTATAAATCAATTTGCCGTCT